GAAATAGTTCTAAAATTAGAGGTAAACCTTCCAGGGCTGTAATTGGAAACCATTTTTGGAATAAATGCTAGAACAAGTTTGCAATTGTTCTGCAAAAGATGATTGATGCTAGATCAACGGTTAATTTTGTCAATCTCACATGTAAAATTTTGTTAGACAAAAGCACTTGGGACAGTGTGTTATGGCATAGATTTGTCATAATAGTAAAACTGTCTCAAGGGGCTAGATGGCTTACTCCTTTTCCTGAGTTCCCATGAAGGAGTGTTTGGTTTGAAAAATCTTAGACCCAAGATTTCAATCTTGCGTCTAGTCCCTTTTACCCCTCAATTGTCTTTTAAGTATTGTTACTTAAATTCCCTACCTGTGTAACTTTATATCAAGATAAGCAGTACTCGTGTTAGTACTGTATAAAGATTGGATACTGTTATTTATACAATGGTCTGGTATATTAAAGACTCTCATTTGTATGAGATTGTCCTGATTATTCAAAGACAAAAATGAATCCATTTGATGCGAAACTTAGTTGGACTGTTGATTTTTATTGGAACTCTATATTTGACTAGAGGGGTACTTTGATATTGGATTGGCTTTAGTCTTCTGAAAGAGATGCTCCTCTTCATGCTCTTCCAACTGCACTGCACCTCCTTGGGCAGTTTACTTTCCAAACCACATCTATCCCTCCTTTTTTTGAAGGAAAGGATTGATAGAATAAATTTTTACAAATAAAAACGAAGTGCTGGAGAGCCCAGCATTTCTGGCAGCGTTGTGAAGATAGAAACCGGGTTGCTGTTTCAAGTCTAGTATTTCAGCGTTTCAGAATTAAAAGGAGCTGGAAAATGGTTTTTATGCTGTTTACAGAGGGGAGGAAGAGCAAATAGAATTAATTATTAACTTGTGATGTTGTGTAATCCTACTTGAAACCAAATGTGAATTAACTTAGGAAATATTTTGGATAATTGAATACTATTGACATTTATGTGATGTTTTAAAATCTATTCAATGTTGGGAGTATTTGCTAAGGAGAAATTGGATGTTGCAATTTATTGCGCAGAAGAATTTTATCTCTTTGGGGTGGTGGGGGTGTTCAGCAAATTACAGTAAGTCCTCACTTAAAGGCATTCCAACTAAAATTGCAATTTTCTGGAACGTTATTATTATTTCAAATGGAACATTGACGACCCTAGAATTGATGTTCTGCAGGGTCTTCCTTAGCAAAATACAAACATTTAAACATTATGCTTAGTAAATTGAAATGCTTACCGATGTAGGAAAAATTAACTTTTAAAATAAATTCAAGAATGTAAAAGAAAAATGATTTTCCTCCTTGTACCTACTGATCACTGCCTAACCTACCCCTCTGATCCTGCTGATCAAACCTCTCCTTGACCGTCCCAATTGTGCTTTCTCCCACTCCCTGGCTCACTAAAAATGGAGCCTGCAGCACCGCTACCGTTGTCATATCAATTGTCTGATAGCATCTTTTTGAGAGGCCGCACACTTTTTTTGCTGGTCACCATCCCTGCAGTATCCACTAGCTCTTCTTGGCTAGCTGTGGTGCCTTAGCTGTTCTCCCTCTCCTTTTGGCCAGCAGCATATTGAATGTAACTGAACCCAGTAGCTGTATCACTAGCTCAATCAAGCAGTTTGGAGCCTGATGGGTACTGTTTTAAAAACTTCCTGGTGCAGATATTGGGCAGTGGTGCCTGGCGCTCCACGCTGAGAGTCAGGTAAAGGAGAGCTTGCAGTTCTAAGCTGGAGTATGGGGAGGAATGCTGTGTCAAAGAGCAAGAAAAGTTGCACCAAAAAGGCGCAGACACATCTGGTAAATAACATTGAGCATTGCAGTACCCTTCTGAAGGGTCCTGACCCGAAACGTCGGCTTTCCTGCTTTTCAGATGCTGCCTGGCCTGCTGTGTTCCTCCAGCTCCAAACTGTCACCGTTAAAAGTGAAAGTGTTAAACAAGGATAGTGTTAAGTGAGGACTTAGTTGGTATGTACCTTTTTGTAAGACCACTTGACCTCTGTATTTCTGCAGCAAATTTTTTGAACACCTAAGAGGAAAAGGCACTGATTGAGACATCTGAATTAAAAATTTAAAAGGAACGGAAAGTTGGTTTCTGTTCAAACCCTTTTTTTGATTATAATTCACCTACCTATCTGTCTGACTTAGTAAGGTTCAACGTCAGTTTGATAGCATACACAGGTGGAAGTCTGTCATATTACTGATTACAATCTGACTTCCTCCTCTGCTCTGTCAATGACCTGTATGTGATATTGTATCTTAATAATGTGGACTTTATTGATGACTTGACTTGAATTTTTTTTAAATGTTGTCCATTTACTAAGATTTGACCTGTATGTATCCTGTATTGTGAACACATCAGAATTAACTGAATTTTGTACCATGTTATGATCAGAAGCAGCCTAAAGTTGTTAATCATAAGTGTTCTCAAATTGTTTAAGAAATTATATGCTTTTGCATTGAGCCGAAGTGCCAGAAAATTATATTCTCAAATCATTTGATTTTTAATCCAAAAGCAAATTACAGATTGGGGTAAGAATCTTTTTTTCATTTTCTTAAATGCAATATTTAAAAATGTAGATCCTGGAAAAATCATCTTGAAGCCACTTGATGTGAATGTATAATTCTAAAATTGAAAATATTTGTCTAAATTCCATTTGATTAGGCTTGGATAAGTTTTTTTTTCTTTTTTTTTTTTAAATTGATTTTTATTTATGTTGAGTCGCACTGTTTCCAAGTCAGTTGAGTCGTTTTACTTGAAGGATCAATCCTTTCTCTGAAGATTTCTTTCTAGCCACATATGGTGGCCTATACAGAAAAAGCTTTTCACATTGTAATTATAACATAAGAGTTCTGTTTCCAGGCCTAATGACATGTTTGGATCTATTTATAAAAGTGAGGTTATGTTTAATATTTTATTTTGTCAAATCACCTGAAGTAAATTCTCGCCTGAAACTAGATTTTGCACGTTTTTGAGTTACTTGTATTGGGCATACAATTCTTGTTTAGAAACAGTGCACTAGATGCAGATATTGTTTCATAAAACATATCTTTTCCCTTTTGTTTTTTCCCTTCTTTGAGAAGATAATGTATATGCAAATATTGGTAGCTCACTGCTGACTTGCTTAAGTGCCCATTCCACAATTGAACTGCAACTGGAGCTAACGGACAAACTGATATCTAATGGTATGATATATTTAACAAGGAAAGCCAAACATGCCCAGGGAACTTAAACCAGACAGCTTAACGTTAATCATAAGTAAAATAATGGAATCCCTGTTAAAGGACAAATAGAAAAATAAAAGTATGTGTTTCCAAAAAGGATGTCTTGCTTTACCAACCTTTTCAGAATCCCTTGAAGAGACAAGAGAATAAAAAGGACTAATGAAGTAGATGCAAATTACCTGGATTTTCAGATGGTCTTTGCTAAGATACTGTGATGAATAACACCAAAGCATATGGTGCCAAAAGATGTACCAGAATAGCTAATTGGCTGCAAAGCAGAAAATAGGGATAAAATGTAACTTTTCAAAATAATAGGTGGTGGAAATTGAAGTCCCATGTTGTTGCTAGGACCACTGACTGTATTAACAATTTAGACTTTGAAATCAAAAGCAATTTCTAACTTTTTAAATTGCACGTTGGCGTATGGAGAGAAGCCGGGCAATATTGAGGTTCTTTCCTCAAGCTGTGCTGTTGTGCAAAAAAAGGGAAGATACCCCGCAGCACAGCAAGTAGGCTGTGCACAACCATGATAGCCTTTGGGATCTTCTTGTACATTTCTGCACAGTAATCTTGAAAGTAACACATCGTACAACAAGCTGCATTAAGCCAAGAAACATTAGAGGGAATATTGATGGCAACAAATTGCAAGTGGACATATTGGTGGCAAAAATCATTAACACAGAAGTTAAATTTTGGTGACGAAAAATAAAGGAGTCACTTATTACTTGGCGAATAAGGAGCTAAATGGGGTAGAAGAGCAAAGGGTTCTGTAAGTACTGAAATATAAATCACAAGTTATTTGATAAGGCTTTAACAAAAGCAGTTTCTAGAAGGAAGGAATTGAAAAGTAGGGTTGAACTCACTTTATGTCAAACTTTTGTTAGACCTCTGGTATGTGCAATTCTAATTGCCATATTATACAAATGATATAGAGGCATTGGATAGGATACAAAAGCGTTTAGATCGATAATAGGACTGACCTTGCATTGATCTATCAAGAAAGAATGAAAAATGCATTATCCCTTCCTGAAAAGAGAAAGTTAAGAGGAGACCAACTTAGAGATATTTAAAGTTATGAAACATTCCTGGTAGAGTAGACACCCTGTTTCAACTTGAGAGAGCAAAACTTTAAAGTCAGCCACATAAGATAATTACCAAGGAATTGGAGTATACAGAAAACAAGTCTTCACCCAAAGTGTGTTAAGGATTTGAAACTTACTTTGAAATTTGGGGACTAATTGTAGTAAATTGTATAAATGCATTTTAGGGAAGAAATCTAATCACAAACAGGGAAAAACGTGGTCTTCTGATAATGTAAGATGAAGAATGTGGAGGAAACTCAATCATTGTGGATTTAAGGACCAAGCAGCCTGTTTCCATGTTGGCACACTATAAAATAGCAGTTTGAATGTAGGCTTCACAACTTAGAAAATTGTGCTGTCAATTAGGTTTTGTATACAATAATTTTCTAGGAGAGTCACTGGCAATTTAGAAGCAATATTTTTGTCTTCCTTTAATTCCTTTTTTGCCCCAACCCTCTCCCTCAACCAAGCCAAGAGGTAGTGATGCCAGTTGTCCAAGTGAAACACTTCAGCTGTATCCAGTAATAGAGGCAGTTATATAAAAGGAAGAGACAAGATAATGCGCTTAGTTCTAAAGACACTGTCCGAAATACGGTGAATTTGTGGCTCCATGGCTTGGAATTCTCTCCCTCTAGCTAGCTGTGCCTAATCTGTAATTTCTGCCTATATAGGCAAAGTGCGATGCTATTCCATCTGGATTTGTGATGCAGGTAGGTAATGTTCATCATTATTTTATCAGCTGAATTCACTTCATTTACCCTGAATGCATTTTATGTGAGAACTACCAGAGAAATCCATCTCAATTCTGTTCTTGACAGGAACAGCGACACAAAGAAATGTCTGTGCTACCCCAGTCAGCAACAGCATCCACAACTGTCTCTCCAAGCTCCACATCAGGGAGAAGTATCAGTACAGCTGCAACAGTTGATCTGTTCTCAGTAGCTGCACCAGCAACAAATGCAAACAGGTAAACAACTTTTAATTAAATTCCATGAAGTAGTTAATGGCTAATAATTCACTGATATGTCTGACAACTATCTTCAGTGATTTAATGTGTCCAAGTAACTTGTTAATTACTTTTTAATAAATCAAGATAAAGGAAAAAGCAGAATAAATTTCCAAGAATTGGATTGTTTAAATAACATCATTGGGGAACTTGTGAATTAACTTCGAATTAGATCATCCTAAGGCTTGTGTGGTCTTGCATGGTATCTTGCTTGGCATCTTAAATCATTTTATGTTGCATTTTAAAAAAAATTCCCTTTCAGTGCCAATCTATACTCATTAAATATCATAATATAAATGGAAAGGAGGAAAAAGATTAAATTTGTTATTTTAAAATTTAATTATGGAAGTGAAGAATCAAAATGAAATCTGCAAGTATTTGCTTATACAAGGTTAATGGTCACGCTTCACGGATCTGGAAGAGAAAATGATATCTGTAACAGTTTGCACCCATGCGACGCATAAAATCAATGCTGAATTAAGATGCAAAAATGCATTCCATGACTAGTCCATTATACAGATATCAGAAAATGTGGAAATATTCCTCAGATGCTATTAAAATGCACACATTAATATAATCAGCCCAAAAAAATCAAACCTATACTAGTATATATTTTTCTTTGAGCCTTAACATTTAAATTCATGCTATTTAGATTCAGCATCCTTATAAACCTGCAGTTGGGGAAAGTGTATTTTTTAAAATGTAACTTTGTTTTTACATTTTTACCAAGTATTGGAGAACAGGTTGCTGCAGACATGGTGGATGTGGATACAATAACAATGTTTAAAAGATATTTGGATAAGTATGTGAATAGGAAAAGTTTGAAGGGATATGGACCAGGAGCAGGCAGTTGGGACTAGTTTATCTTGGGATGATGTTCAGCATGGACCGGTTGGACTGAAGGGTCTGTTTTCGTGCTGTATGACTCAATGACTGTGACTCCAAGAGGTATCCAGGATTAAATTTGAAAAGAAAATGAAATGCAATTAAAAGACCAGAAGAATTACTTCTATTTTCTGATGCATCTTTAAGTATGATATCAATGTTGAAAGTCGCATGATTTAAGCACAATTGGAGGATATTTAAATCTGAGCCTGAGGTATGACTTATACGGTCAGAGATTCATTTGTTCAGAAGGTTTAACATGTAAACAAAGATCAAGGAGACTCTGTGATATTGTAGTTGCTCGTGACGCTCATTTGGCCAAGGGTCTGCAATTTTCTAAGTCTATTCATGTTTATTACACCCAGATTGGCCATCTATCTGGATAGAAATGCAGTGGGACAGTCCTGGTCTATTTCTAATCATTTTTAGTTGAAGCAGTTTTGCGTATCCATGAATTGGTATTTTGGTTTCTTTTTCAATTTTCTCACTTTCTTTAAATGTGTATTTTGAAACCAAATTGTTTGATCAATATATCCAAGTCAATTTTGAAAATATGTATTGAGATACTGCTCAAGATAAGCTCGCAGGTAAAACAGCACTGAAGACAAATGAAAGTATGAAATGTTAATGTGCTGACTTTGCATGCACTGTTTGTGTTTTTATTGCTGCACTTACATCAGTCTTGAGAGGTGTCATTGATGATTAATGCTGTTTAAAAGTTGCGAAGCTTGAAAATGCATTTATTGTTAAGTGCAGAAATTCAGTGAAATTATTAGGACTCTGAAAACGAAGCACACCTGCTACAACTAAGCTATTTCAAATTAAGAGGCTTTGATTTTGATGTTTAACGTTTATGGGAAAATAAAACAGACAAATTTCCATTGATAATATCAATTGTATAATGTACAAATTAATAACTCTTGACATTTTGAATATTTTTAATTAGATGATGTGAACAACTTGATTTGTGAAGCTTTGCAAAAAGAATCAGTTGCATTGAGCAACATCTTAATTGAGTACAATTTTTTGTTTTAAAATTCCACTAAATCTGGCACTCTGTGGCTGGGCATAGATGGAGGCCTTTCCCTGATCATTGCTGAAACCATGATGTGGAGATGCCAGTGTTGGACTGGAGTGGACAAAGTCAAAGCTCTCATAACACCAGGTTATTGTCTAACAGGTTGTTACCTTTTTGCTTCAATTCTGCATCTTATACCCTTTCTCTCTCACTGCACCTGAGGAAGGAGCTGAGCTCAAAAAGCTTGCGTTTTCAAATAAACCTGTCAGACTGTAACCTGAAGTTGTGATTTTTTTTTGACCATTACCAAAACAGCAGTGCAACAGTCACTGGCACTTGAACCAATCCTCTTTCTTCATATTTTGAAGACAAGCTGCTATTGATGTACCTCTGTCGTCTCTATAACTGTAAAAGGTCCACATAGAACACCTGTGCATGCAGTTCTCCTTCATGTAGCATTCTTTCCAAGATTTTTTCGAATGTTTTCTCACAGCCTTACAAGTGATTTGTGAAATGTCATTAATGATTCTCATCTGATTATCTGCAAAATACTCCAAATATTTTACTTGATTTAATTTATCCAAGTTATTAGCCCTATATTGTCAATTATTTTGGATATTCAGTAGATCACAAAGGAAATGGAGAAAATCACCAAGAATTGAATTGCACTACAGTCAGTTCTGATATAACATAGTTCAGTTCTCATGCGATCTCGGGTTATAAGAAAATCACGCAATAGCTGCACCATTTAAGCTAATAGGACTGGACTAGCGTTATAGCCAATAAAGATAACGAAAGTTCACATTCTACAAATAGTGGTCTAAATTCTTCAATTGCTTTAAAGTCAATTTGCATTGAGCAAACACGTGTTATAGCAGAACCGACTGTATTTACATTTAACTCCTTGTCTTAAACAGCTCTAATACTTTTCCAAAATTGGCCTTTTGTTTTGAAGAACCAAGGGGTCAGATATGCCCTGTTTAATTGGCTCCTACTGCACATTTTTAATCAGAAAGCCCTTTCATGTTGGTAGTGTACTGCTTATTGTCAACAGAACGTAACCTCTTCGGTGAAGGCAGGCGGAATCTGTATCTAGGATTTGAGGTTTTTTGGAAATTAGAACTAGTGATTGAAGGTGGTGCAAAACATGATACTTTGCAGTGAATCCAGTTTGCACCAACAATATACAAATAGGTTTTTCTTCCAAAAGTAATAGAACAAAAGTTGCACATTATGGTGTTCCATTTGAGTTCCACACTCCTGGCGTCCCAGTAACTATCTAGAAATGCCATCACCAACATTTTAGAAGTCTCGGGCAAAGGATTATCTTAGAAATCTTTGACGTTAATTTGGAACATTTTGATTTCTTGTCCAGCGCCCCTAACTTGTCCAATGATATCTTCAACCTCGAGTCGGCTTTTGTACCTACTGTACAGAGCACCCCAGCAATATCAACCTCAGTAGCTAACGCATGGGGAGGTAAGTTAACCCATTGTACTAAATAATTATTATTACGCTATTTTGCTTTCTCTTGGTGTGAGGTGAGCTTGATCTGTGGCTTGGCTGCAGTGTAATCAGCATTTTTTGCATCCGCTTCTTCCACTTTGGGTGAAAACTTTTGCTGGGTTTACAGTACAGAAGACTGAATTGAAAAATGTTAATTATCTATACTGCTCTCTTTCTGCTCGTTAATTTATAGGACATTTCGTAGACTAACATTTTTCCAGATTACTCTTAGTTCACAAAAACTATTTAGCAAAAATGATTTGACACCAATTCCTTATGCTGTTGGCATAGACAAGCAATTGATTGAAGTAAAAGACAAAATAGATATACTGGCTGTGTACATTGGCTGTATGTGATGAATGATGTCTCTCTGGGATCTGTACAGAGGCCTCAGCTTACGATATATTTATCAATGACTTTGAAAAAACAAAGGCTGTGTATCCATGTTTATTGACTGCATTAACTTGCAAAAGGATATTGATAAATTAAGTTAGTGTGATTGGTGTTGTGTCAGAGGCCATTCTCTTTAGATCCAAGAAAGATTGGATTATTTTACTGCATATTGGACAAACTCATGAGAGGTCCTCTGCTGCCACTTTTGGCCACGAAAGGTGTCCAATCTACTTCAAATTACCCTGGAAGAAGAAAGTATCATGAAAAATAGAGCACCAGGTAAAACTTTGCAATAAAACCATGAGTCATATTCTTCAAAAACAATGCTGCCATCAAAGAAAAACAAACATTCTACCTGCACACTAATGAATATTGTGGTTTCTGAATTTTAGTGCTGTATGATGTATGTAGGCTGCACACCCCAGCAGCTATGATGCAGAGGTTCTGGTGTTGGATTGGGGTGGACAAGGTCAGAAATCACACAACACCAGGTTATAGCCCAACAGGTTTATTTGAAAACACAAGCTTGCAGAGTGTAGCCCCTTCATCAGGTGAAGTGACAAAGAAGCACACAGAACAGAATTTATAAGTAAAAGATCAAAGGGTCACACAACTGATGAGCATGTATCAAACAAACCTAAGATGATGATAAATCTTTAATCATCTGGAAGGTTTTAATGAATCAATATGTATATGTAAATCCCTGAGTTTCTTTCAAGTCACTGCCCTGAGACAACTAAAGGCTTTATCAATGTAAAGAAGAGGTGACATTTTAGGTTAGACAATTTGTGTTAGGTGTGAGGCCTTGTTTAGATCCGAGCAGCTGGCAGACTATATCAAAGAGCGCATGCCTTTAACTGTTTTGCAGTGGGCTGCTGGCCTGTGCTTGCACACCTCAGAACATCATGTCCAACAGCAGAATTACATCCAAATATCAGACAGCTGCTAGACTGTTATGTGAATTCCAAAACTGCACACTATATACGGGATATGATTGCTTTGGAGAGGGTGTAGAGAAGATGTAACAGGATATTGCTGGGCTGGAGAGGTTTTGTTACGAAGAGACATTGGATAGACTTGGGTTGACTTTGGAGCAGAGGAGACTGAGGGGGAGACATGACTAACATGTATGAGATTTGAAGGGAATAGGCAGGGTAGATGGAAAGAAACTTTGCACTTGTTGGAGGGATCAGTGACCAGGGGCATAGAATAAGGGGTAAGAGGCTTAGAGGGGATTTGAGGAAAATTCTTTTCACGCAGAGGGTGGTGGGCATCCGGAACGCAGCCTGAAAGGGTGGTAGAGGCAGCAACCTTCAACAACAATTAAGTATTTAGATGTGCACTTGCGATGCCAAGGCTGTGGGCCAAGTGTTGAAAAAAATGGATTAGAACAGTTAGGTGGTTGTCTTTGACCAGTGCAGACTCAGTGAGTGAAAAGGCCTTTCTCTGGCCTGTAGACCTGTATCGCTCTAAGACTTCTTGTCTGTGATATTATGGTCCAGACCAAACCCTCTTCAGATTTATCAAAGGGATAGCTGAGACCCTAACTTACTTAAAGGCAAGTGTAAGGTGCTGTGTTCCAGATGTAATTCAATTGGTTATGCTATACGGCTTTAAGCAAAACACACTATGCTTACTCTACCGTTAAAATAAGAGCAAAGACAAATTGGTCTAATTTTAACTTTTATTGGAAAACTTAACAGAATAATAGGTTATTTAACGACTAAAAAGCAACTGTTTCGATGTAGTATCATCCCTTAAACATACCCTAGGCAAAGGCAAATTAAGTAAAGTTGTCTCGCATGCAATGATTCTCCAGTCCAGAAGAAACGAACATCAAGAGAAAATTCTGGCAGAGAGAGAAGTTGAGCATGTTGCAGTAGCAAACAAGTACAGAAAACTAAACTAAAACTCTGGTTCTGTGTGAACCTGATTCCACCCATTCATGGTGCTTCTGTTGTTCCAATTTTTCAAAAAAAAAAGCTCAAGACTTCACAAGCTACATTCTTTTATTGGCTTCAAACAGAACACATGACACCTCTGTCTCAACCTTTCTCATTATTTCAAAAAACCCAGGACAGAATGTACTACGTAAAGCCATTGTATCATCATATTCCTAAGAATTACACCAGAAACAAATTTAAAATTTGGTGGAGCTTACATATGCAAATAGATAACATTACAAGAAGCTATATATATTCTCTCAAAAGACCTTGCTTGTTGTGTACAAAAGGAATTTGTTCACACATTGCATGTTTTTCATTGAGTTTTGGAGACTGCCATTCCCTTTATTTCCCTATGGCGATGTCCTGGCCAGTCAGATCCTGGGTTGGGTTTAATCCGCTAATGAGATTTGGCATTTAACAATTCCTGATGCACCTCCATGCCAACGATGGTCCAACCAGTCAACACCCTCTTCACGTGCATTTTAAATTGTCCTTCCTTTTCAAAGCTTTGTTTCTTGTGTCCCAGTCCCAATGAGTGCAAAACAAATGCTTCAAATGGGAGATAGTAGGAACTGCAGATGCTGGAGAATCCGAGACAACAAGGTGCAGAGCTGGATGAACACAGCAGGCCAAGCAGCATCATAGGAGCAGGAAGGCTGATGTTTCGGGCCTAGACCCTTCATCAGAAATGCTTCAAGTGTGTTTCTTTTTAGCAATTATTTAAAATCCAAGAAGTTTAGGTGAGATACAGAGAGATTTAATGGTTTTGTGATTTAGTGGAATTTTGGAATAAAAGCAAAATACCATAGATTTTGGAAATTTGAAGTGTTGTACATGTTCAGCACATCTAGCAGCTTCTGTACAGAAAGTAATAACGGTTTGAATCTAATGTAACTTCAGAATTGAAGAGAGAAATATGACGAGTTTTATGCTGTTGAAAGAGGGGAAAGTAAGTTCTTGGAAAGGGTAGCAGACAGGAGAGGGTAAATGAAGATCTCATGCATCAAGAGGTAAAGAAACTGCGTTAGTCCAGCGGAAAGTGTTAATGGCACCTCTGAAAACAGGTGAAAACAAGATACAATCTGCCACCTGGCCAAATAAAATCAAAACAAAAGATTAGTTCATGCTCTGTTGAATGCAGCAGGTTATAAAGTGATTAATTGGAACGTGAGGTGTGTTTCTTGAGCTTGTTTGAACTTCATTGGAACACTGCAGCAGGTTGAGTACAAAATTGAACATGAGAACAAGGTGCTGAATTACAACGATAAGTGACTATAAGTTTCAAGCTATGCTTGCAGACTAAGTGAAATGTTCCGCAAAGCAGTTATCCTGTCTGTATTTGGTGTCTCCAGTGTGAAGAAAAACGCATTGTGCACAGTAAATACAATATAATCATACAATAGAATCCTGACAGTGCAGAAACAGACCATTCAACAATGAATAGCATCCCACCCACAACCAGCCCCCTGTCCTATCCATTTGACCTTTGAATTTAACACAGTTAATCCACCTACCTTGCATGACCAATCCACCTAACCTCCACATCTTAAGACTGTGGAAGGAAACAGGATCACCTGGTGGAAATCCACGTAGAAATGGGGAGAATGTGAACACAGACTTTCAGCCTTGGGTGGTGACTTCGAGCCCGGGTCCCTGGCACTGAGGCAGCAGTACTAACCACTGACCCACTATCTCAGCCACAGCTGAGCCAACTGTGCTGCCCATGATAGTCCAAATTGAAAGAAATACAAGTAAATTGCTGCTTCACCCAGAAAGAATATTTGGACTATGAGCTTCTGACTGCTTTGGTGGGGAATGGAGATGCTCTAAGCTCTCTACTACCTTGAACAGAGGCCCAAACGGTCCCTTTTTACGACCATTGTCCTACCTCCACTGACTTTTTTTTTGTTTCATCAAACAACTTCTCTTTTAGCTTGTCTCCTTTTCCTACAAATAAAACGTGTTGATGTGGTTGGTATGTGTCCTAGTTGTGCCAGTCAGCCACTCACTTTGCCTTTCATTCTATGACATCTTTATCTAATCTCCTCTTCTTCCCTCTAGCCTAATGCAGGTTTGTTTTTTTTTTTTGCTGTTACTCCCCTCTCCTCTTTCAACAGCATAAAATTCCATAAAATGTGGAGCTAGAGAAGCACAGCAGGTCAGACAGCATCGGAGGAGTAGGAAAGTTGACGTTTCAGGTCTCGACCTTTCTTCATGGCCCTGATGAATTAGCAATTTATATAGAAAAACCAAAGAATATAGATGCTGGAAATCAGAAACAAAAAAAAAACAAATGCTGGAAAAACTCCAAGTCTAGCAGAATCTGTGGAGAGAAAGCAGTGATAATGTTTCGGGTCTAGTGACACCCCAGCTGCCAGATCTGCTGAGGTTTTCCAGCGATTTCTGTTTTTTTGTGACGTTTGTATAGTCTCCTTTTCAAAGCTAAGATGTCCCCAAAGCGCAACACAGCAAATGAAATACTTTTGAAATGTATTTACAATGTCAATACCATGCAAGGCAGAAGTCAGTTTTGAAGTTAGTGGAAAAGAAAACCACTGATTTTGGACTAATACAGACTACTAGTTGAGTACTATTTCCTTTCACGTTACTGACAAAGAACAATTTTACACTGTC